TCGGGCAATGTTGTCCGGCCGACCTTGGTGCGGCCTTGCACTGGCTAAATCACACTAATTTTCATGCGCTGTTTTTTCCCGTCCGCTGCGTCACTTTGCGAATCATCAGCAAGGGCGTCCCGTTTTACGTTTTCGGCTGGCCTTATCACTGGTGGAGACTTCGAGGACAGAGAAAGAAGTCGGTTTCCATGGTTCAAAGGAGTATTCCGGTGGTATTCCCACACGAATCCAAAGTCAAGAGATGCCTGGAGTCCTGGGTGCGCACTAGCCATCCACTAGCACAGCGTCTGATAATGGGAGCCAAACGAGGTATCTCTGAACCTGGCTTACGTTGTGTTAAACGAAATTCAAGCCAAATGAAGTCAACTCTTTACGTAACTTTTGCTTGGGAAAAATATGCCGCTGTTTTCTTGAAATTAGTGACGTTGGTTGTGACTATGCATCCAACACTGGGGATTTCAATTTACCATGTAGATGCAGTGAAGTAGAAATACCTGTGTAAGCCGTTGCAAACAAATTAGCACACTTGATGGTGATGATATTCTGAGCAACCAATTTGTTTGTGATACCAATATAGATATAAATAAACTAATAAGTACATTACTATACGCGAGTTGATTTATGGCTTGCCGAAAGCAACGAAGCATTTAATTCGCGCAATCGAACAAACACATAACAAAGTGATGAATTGTATTCGCGCTTGCGTATAATTAAACAATATTAATGAAAACACACTACCTAAGTACAGAGCATATACAAAATATATATGTATATGTATATATGTATATATATATATATATATATATATATATATATATATATATATATATATATATATATATCTCTGTATATTTCTTGTACCATTTACCTGTTTTGTGTATACGTTTCAGGATTTATAACGTTTCATTATCGCTCATGTACATGTTTCATCATCATGAAATACATTCTTCCAAGATTCGTCATTTTATGCCCGGTGTATTTGACGCCGTTGCTTGGCTCACAGTTACTCAGACTTATGGAGTATGGATCTGATCTTGAGAACTCAGAACGCAGCGCTTATGTGACTTCACAGATTTCATGGTATTTCTGGGCGGATTGCGTCACCTCGGTGGGAGTGCGACACTGAGCACGTGGTCATAACATTTATAATTATGTGTTTTATACGTGCGAAACTGTCGTGTCGTCTGACGTGACTAGTGATCTTTGCCGTTACGGACGATAGAGTATCGCCAGATACCTTCGCAGTCTAGGACATTTCCGTGTTCAGGTCCGCCAAACGTCATGCTAGCAGGTGACTCCCGCAGATAGAAAATCCACGTGATAATAACACATCATCGATGTCCGTCAGTCTTGCAATGGTTGTCGTGGTGTGCGTAAAGAGTGCCGATTACGCGAAATGAAATGCATGACAGGTATGGCATCCAGCCTCCTCGCAATGACTGCGTTTCCATTTAAAACGAACATCGCTGACCTCCGATCAGTAGGTTTTCCAGGGCACCCGATATGTCATTACCGTACTGATCTATCAATTGCACTTGTTAGAGTCTCCATTGTTGTCATTCAGTTGATCTTCGGCACAGCTTCACAATCGCAGTTTGGGAAGGCGGGTGAAAGTGCAGGTCAGTGAGCTACTTGTTCCGTGAGAATGAGCCTCGAATCTCGAGCATAGAAGTCAACAGCACGATTCATCCCAACCATGCGCCAAAACAGCTGCGCTGCCAAGCTATGCACTTTCGCAAACATGGATTACCGCCCAAAGTTCCGGTACGACAAGGCAGCGTCCCGGTATATGCATGCACATGACAGTGTTCGGCTAGCGACGCCTCTCGGAGGCGCAGGCGCCATGAGCGGGCTGGGGGCGTGGCGGTGAATGTGGCAGGGGCGGTGAGCCGAGCCGGGCACGCAGCACAGACGGCCGCGGCACGCGGAGCGCTCCGCTGATCAGTCATTCCCCTCCACAGGATATCGACGGTACGCTCACTATCTGCTGTCGCGTGTCGACCGTCAGCTCTCACGGCTGTTCGGTCGATGTCGCCAGGTAACTGCGAGGCTGAGCCGATGGTCGCTGTCTCTAATCAAACGCTTGTGAACGCCTCCCCCCGCTCCTCCACGATGTTGTGGGGCATTACGCACGCGCACACGATGGCTTGAATAGACTCGTAGTTTGTTTCTGATCGTTCTAAGAGCCGGCGTTACCTTCCCTTGGACCAGCCAAAATAGTGCTTAACAGGTAAGTGGTTATGACTGAGCCTGCTGCTGAAATGTATTTTCTAAGTCGGGGCGCAAGTGAAGCCTTTAAACAACCACGGCAGGAGGGGGTGCGTCGGATCGCCGGCTAGCATCCAGCTCGCCAGCACGCATGGTGCACTGGGGGGGGGGGGGGGGGGATACCAACGAAAGATTATACCTGTGACGTAAATAATGCACCTGCACATTAAACACTTGATATCAGTTACCTGCGCATTTGTCTGGAAGATAACAGCTGTGCGAATATGACACATGCGTTGCGTTGTGCACAACTGGTTTGTTGCGCTGTACAAAATTACACACTGTCTGACTACTTGCAGCAAACAGTGCTAAAATTGCCCTCTTTCATCCTTCCTCATTTCAGTTTGCTTCCTGTTCAATTCTTTACGCAAGCAGTCGTTTTTGAAATTTGACAACAATGGTCCGACATCTTACCCCTAATTTAGGTTCATAGTACCAGGCTCACATAACCTTACAGCAAAAGGTCATCAGCCCTTGGCAGGGTACTGATCGGTATTAATTTGTCTGACAACTTAATACCAAGGCTGCTAAGCACACAATCAGAGAACGGGTATCGCTATGGATTCGTTATGGCATACCAGGTAGTAAAACAATTACGGAGGTGTATACCCTCTCACAGACTAAATACGGTAGATCTTGACAAAATCGTGCATTAACAGGGACAGAGCATGACTAGCTTCATGACAGTTTTTTTAGATTTGGGGAAATAAAGTTCTGAAGTGTGACAGGTCATGCATCTTGGAATGATCCATGGTGCATGGAAACCTAACAGGTCTAAATGAAATGATAAACAGGTTATAATTTACCTTCTGCCAGTGAAGGCAACCATGGAGCTTTTGAAGCGTCACAACACAGCCCTGGACCATCAGAACATGATCCTGATATAGATGGATAAATATCATATACAATTCATAAAAACACTATACAAGCCCATGCAATGCCGCACAAACCAGCCCCCAAATCAGCAAAATATTTCATTTCATCACAATTTACAATGGATATGATGAAATCATCTACAGCTGGACATCTTAAAAAATAAATGAAGACTGTGAAATTCTCAAACAAAGTGTGGAATGTGCCCTGTCCAAGATTTTGAAACTGCAGGCCAAAACTCGAGTTACATTTAAGAAAATGCTCTCACACATGGTTGGTTTTGCAAGACATGCTTTAAACCAGATAGAAAATGCTGTTTTATGTGAATGGCCGCTCTGAAGTGTGCAACTCAAGAAAACGCCGCCCAAGATGCCCAGTGAAACTCCTATGTAATATATCTAGACAAACATGTAAGCTACCTTTTGACTAATTCTAACAAACAAGGCGAACTTTTAAGATTTTTCGCATTAAATATCATCTTTCGTCCATTTGACACCAATATTAAGCACACACACCCCTGCCATCCAGAGAACAACATGTATCGCATGGTGCATAATATCCACTTCATGTCGTTTCAGGCTATGCCATGCCCTTTGCCATGTTGGAATGTTCTTGAAGGTGTAAGTACTCATTATACATAACAGAAAATTCCCTGCTGGTTATTCCAGGTGCTTATCATCCCAACATTCACCTTTTTTACTAGCTCACCTTCTTTTCTAGCTCATTCACCTTCACCTCGCTAGCTCCAAATTTCCTGGAGCGTCGGATTTGCTTATCGAAGCCGAGTTAAACTCCATCCTCTACATAAGATCCTAGCTAAAAGGGGTAATTGGACTGATCGGCATCCCCGATTTGCGCGACCTCGGCCGAAATTACCTCATATGGTGATGCTGTGTTCCTCTATATTTTTTTGACGCAAGAGCGCCATACTTGTCATCAGATGGGGCAGGGAAAATCTTTAGTAGGAAACTTTTGGTTCCAATTCTGGCATCGTTTCAAATTCCCTGCGCAAACACGGCTCCTGTCAGCTTACCCTACCGTTCTGGCTTTGACGTTTGCACGGGCGACACGCGGGCAATTAGTGTCAGCTATGATGAGCTGACTGCAATTAATCCCCCTCCCCGCCTGACAGCGTGGTCCAGCCAGGCTGCAGCGTCTCTGCCGATCAGCAAAGGAGTTAACGGCATGCCAGAGGTTCTCAAACAAAACGCATGAGCCGTTTGCATGAGAGTTTGCAGCATGAGGTACTTTCAGCATTTCGAAATGTAATGAGACATCACGTGAAACAGCCATAGATTTTAGATTTTGTGCGATTGTTCTGCAATGCAACGGGTTGCTAGCGCAACCAATACAGCAATCTTTCGTTGAGGCGTGTGCTATCTTAGAAATACCTGGATGGATACCTGGATACCTGCGTCACGGAACTCAACAGCAACCACTACACGTCATTAGCAATACTTACACAACTCAGTCATTACATTTGTGTCTTGGTCAGTGGAAGCAATACAAGACTGCCGCCGTCATAAGTTCCGATTCTGGCGTTGCTGGCGACGCCACTGGCAGCTATTCAGGTAACCTTCCGACCCACTCAGACCGATCTGTCAGCCAATACAGCGCGGCTCGTTCTTGAGTGTGGCCACGTCTTCCGCGCCGTCTGGAGCATCATCGATTCCCAGGTACGCCTCGGCGCGCGTTCGGACACGCGGTTCGTGCCTTAATCCACGAAGTCATAAATTGCCTACCGCTTTTGAAAGGTTCTTGCTCGTCTTCCGAACCTACTCTGCTGCCCGTAATATGATTATGCAGGCCTCTGGCCTTAAATTCCGTAAAGGATAAATATTTTGCGTCGCAGCACTCACCGTTCTATTGCCGATGTTCCGGACGCGACAGGTGAGGTACGCCGCCTTGCCAGCCATCGCAGTGATGTTGCTCGGCGTCGAGGGGTCGAAGCTCGGCTGGAGGCCGGCTGACCCCAGCGCGCTGCCCTCGCGCTGCCCGGTCCTCGCCTGCCGCCTCCCTGAAACATTCAACGTTACGTGAAATCAGGGGTTCGCTTCGGCGTGCCGACGTGACCGACGTGACGCGGTCCGCAGTGACGTCAGTGGCACATAGATGCGAAACAGGAGACGTGCACACACTCGGACAGGCATTTGACATTGATTTCCAGGGTGCACTGATTGGCACTGATTGGGTACTGTGTTCACTCGTGGACTTCCGAAAATTTTATTGGAAAAGGTTGTAGCGGATCTCTTGACTTTGTGAAGTCTGAGTAGACGAACACCAATCTAATCAACAAATCGCCCGTAGATATCTCGCCCAAAATTTTGGCTCCCCTATTCATTTCTACATTACCGTAGTTTTTGCGCGCCGTGTTGGTGTTAAGTACTCGCATGCGTAGAGGGGGGGGGGGGTCAATTTGGTCTCCCAAGGTTTTTTCCAGCATGATTTCCGAAAGACGCGGCGTGGCCGCGACAAACTCTACGTAGCTGTGGGAAACCAAGTAGCGGGCCTTTTGGTATAAAAACTTAGATTTACCTTTTAAGATCGCTGGCCAACGTCGAGTGAACGTCAGGTCATGGCTGTCAGCGAAGGCAATTTCTGGGGAATCTTTCAATCTGATGCAATAACTGAGTGTTAAACGAAGCCATGCATCTCTGCGAGTTTCTTAAGCAACATAACAATTGACTGTATAATTGGAACAAATTCATCTGAGAAAGGGTAGAGTATGAAGGTCAGTTCGAGATAAAACTAACTCACTTTTTAATTCGATGGATCGTTTTATGGCGTAGTTTCTGGTGCTCATACCGAATTTGTCAGTAACGAGGACCGCAACACACATATCCATGGACTCTGTAGGTCAGAATGCGTCACTGACCTTAAATAACCCAGATCAATATTTTGTTTTAGGAACACACCGACTAGCGTGATCCCTGACGCCTATTCAAATAGCAAAATAAAAGAGCGATCTCGTAGGGTTTAGTCACCATGACCCTCTGAAAATAGAAAAGGTCACTGACCTTAACCTAAAACCAGTTATCGTTTGCTTAGAACAGGAATCTAGGCTCAAGGCGGTAACATGAGGAGATCTGGTGGCATTTTCGATGCCAATCTGGAGTTTTACCTTAGTTGACTTTATTTGACCCAAATTATGGCCTAGGAACCTCAGGTTTTGACACAAATAAGCTTCTCTGTAGACCACCTCATCCTGTGAGTTTGGTATATCTAGCTCTCAAATATTTAAGCTCGCATAGGGACAAACTGGCAGCGTCCAGGCGAAGGGTATTCAACCGGCCACCCGGGCGCGTGTTAAGATGGATATAACTGGATATAACTGCTGAGTATTAACACAACGAAGCTTTAACCAAAAAGCGCCCGATCTAATGTCTGCCCGCATTTACATCATGTCAGTGTTTTGTGTCAACACGGAACTGAAATTTCACGATACGGTGGTGCTGCATGGTGGGATACGTGTGCCAAATAATGACGTCATGTGTAGGGCCGTTTTTCCTAGCTACTCCTGTCTTGATGAGAGAAAACTGCCTGACCGCTCTGTAATGTGTTTTGCGAGCAATATCGCAAAGCTGCGAAGCTGCCAGACATACCTCGGTCATGAAAGCGCAAGTGCCTGAGTAAAAAGCACGCTTCCACTGACGTTACATTCAGGCTAGAAAAATATCCTTTAGTAGATCGACGGACGTGAGCGTATTTTGCCCCAGGCTATGGCGCAAATTGGCTTCACGTTTGATGCATTCGGAAATGTTGCTGCAAATTGCCTTCCACAGCTCCCGCGCGGCGCCTCTGTGGTTTCTGAGCCAGCGGTCGCGGCTGCCGCCTGAAGAGGTTGAAGCAGGTGTGCCAACACTCCGTCGATTCCCCGACACATGGCAAACATGGCGTGAGCAACCAATCAACCATCAACGTATGTCCGACATAAAAATGTCATCATGGAAGAGAGCGCCGGGCTGGGCTAAAAGCATACGTGGTTTCTTGCCATAGGGCACCTGACGAAAGAAACCATCTGAAAAGGCAAAATGGAGAGGGAAAACGTATACAACACACACAAAGACGTACAACAACATGAACGAAATCACCTCAGTGGTCGTCGCACTCTCTCCACTCTCGCCAATCCTCGGCACTCGTCAGCCCGATCCCCGCACAGTCCCGCAGCTAACCAACACAATTATCGAAGAGCAGACGCGCACAAAACGGATCTCTCGAAGTCCTTCGAATGAAACAAACCGCTAGGTGAATTTAATGAATTTTTCGACGGGAAGTGCAAGAACTCGCCCTTTCCTGTCATAAGGGCTTCTGCGTGACAATGGTCAGGTGACGTACTTACAAGAGTTGTAAGTGTGTTGGGGAACATTGGGGAGTAAATTGCCAGATGCTCAAGCCATTCAGTTTGTTGATGTGCATTAACATCGGTCAGATATTACGTGCCTGATATTTTCCAGGTATTGACTTGCAAAAACAGACTAGACTTTCTTCATTGAAACTGGATGTCTAACAAATGATGGCTCGATCCTTAAATCCTCAAGCGCAAACGAGCGTAATGCATATTTTCTAATTTTTATCCGATGCTGTTTGACAGGAGGTGATTTTGCTGTGCAGAAATGACGCGTAACCGCATATACAAAGCCATCGTCGGAGGGTAGGTTTCCTAAGAGGTTTCCAGAGGTTCGGCTAGTTCGCTCCAGTCCCTAATTGTGCGGGAGATGATTTTTTTTTTTTAAATAGCGGTGCACTAATTCATTGTGAGTGGCGAGGGTTCGCAAATTCGCGTGCGAAAAACTCATCAAAGCCGTCTTTTGTCGATTGCTCGTCATAATGACGAATCATGTTTTTGATTACGTATGCTACCATATCTGTCATAGCTGCCATAACATCGACTATCTGGTCGTATTAACTATGAAAGAAAGTAAGTCGACGTGCGGGTTTTTGTACCTCTCCTTTTTATATTTAAATATATATATATATATATGTGTGTGTGTATGTGTGTGTGTGTGTGTGTGTGTGTGTGTGTGTGTGTGTGTGTATGTGTGTGTGTGTGTGTGTGTGTGTGTGTGTGTGTGTGTGTGTGTGTGTGTGTGTGTGTGTGTGTGTGTGTGTGTGTGTGTGTGTGTGTGTGGTGTGTGTGTGTGTGTGTGTGTGTGTGTGTGTGTGTGTGTGTGTGTGTGTGTGTGTGTGTGTGTGTGTCTGTGTGTGTGTGTCTGTGTGTGTAATTCAGTGTGCAGTTGGTGGGTTGGTGTCAAAAACACCGCTCCGGCGGTAGTCTCACCAGCTGGTCTTGAGTTTTCTGTCTTAAAATGTCCACTGCTGTAAGGTGTTCATCGTAAATAACGTCAGGATCATGCAAATGGGAAGAATGCATGCTACAGAAGTTGAGCTGCGCTATAGGTGCATATTTGAACTCAGTGCAGATAAAACAAGTATGTCAGGTGTGCCGTTGCACAGTCGTCTCCTTGAAACAAAGCGGCTATACTCGGCCGCAAAACGAAAAGAAAGCGGCCATACTCGGTTGCAAAGCGGAGGCAAAGCGGCCATACTCAGCCGCAAAGCGAAAGCAAAGCGGCCAACTCCGCATTGATGGCGCGGCATTTTGAGAGCTGGCTCCCGCACACAGGCAGACATTTCTACCTATAACGAGCTGGTTTAGACGCCGCAAATGCAGGAGTCGGGATGGTGTTTCCAGCCGTTAGTGACGACGATTGATCCCAGTCTGAGGAGGGCTCTCCAGTGTCGCAGCTGCAGCATAAGCAAAAAAAGACAGGTGGAGTCCTCGCGGGCACTAATGGCGCCTCCGGTCGTCCCGGTGACCAGTGCGACGCATCGGTGGCAAAATCCGCTGGTGAGGTAAACCTGCCAGGAGCTGAGGCTGCCAGGAGCTCCTGATATGGCAGGAGCACGCTATCTCCGCCAGCAAGAATCGGCATGCGAGGGCTGATGGGACTTACCCAGTGGAGTGTCCAGATCTCCCCCAGGGAGACGAATCAGACCAAACGCGATTCCAGCAACCGAGGGGTCTCGATAGCTACAACGTTTCCAATATTCGTTGATTTGATGCAGCTGCAGTCCAGAATTTTGGAGCAATGCTGTTTGATATCTCCTGCCTAACGCATAGCTTCGAGAATAATTGACGAAATCTTGGCCGGCGTAGCGTAACCGTGACCGGAGCGAGACGAATAAGGAAGGCACTATCTGCCAAGATGAAGCTGAGATTGGCAGCAACTAGCAGTGTTGACCTGTAGATGTCATCGCGATGTCGTGCCGCTCGATGTTCTGCCCTATTACAAACGAGCCTGGTAACATCCATACTATCATGGGACTTCTCATCATTACGTATTTCTTAAACGCATTTGATTGCCGATAGTTGGGCATTGAACCTCATGAAACACACTTCGCTGCACAAAGCATCGATAAGACAGTATTCTTCCTTAATCTCCTCCTTATTCTTCGAAGGAAAGCCAGGAGATCTAAGACATAAATACGTTGATGTTTCAGCAGCATGCCTTTATCGAAACCAATAGCAGAAGTGAAATTTATTAAAAAGTACTGGCTTGGATAAAGGCATGCTGCCGAAATGTCAGCGCATCTATATCTCCAGTCTCCCGGTTTTCTCCTTGGAAGAAGGTTATTGCTACTGTCTTATCTATGCGAGTAAAATTCATCGCAAATGCAGTTAACAACTCACGCACAGAGCATCGCATAAAAACCTGTCCCGAGCCACAGGCGCTGCCGCCAACTGCAGTGTGCCGGTCTTGCTCTTCGTCACCAAAGGGCCGCTCATCCGGTGGCTGCCCTGGTTCAGCTGTTCCCCGGAGCGTGTGGTGTGCACGGCTCCAGGGCTGAGACCAACTTGAGACCATTGATCTGGCAGGTGCGCTGTCCCGGAAAGCACTTCGGCGCGTAGACGGTGGTGCGCATATATGTATATATATATATATATATATATATATATATATATATATATATATATATATATATATATATATATATATATATATATATATATACTCA